GTAATTGCATGCCCACTTTTATCGCATATTTGCAAAATCCACTTGAGGTCAACAGTTGCATGTTTCATTCTGTCTCAGCCACAGCATTTTATTTGCTTTGGGCCGATTGACAAGAAATTGCCTACCTGTGAGAGAGCATCAACTTAAAATGTTCGCAGAAGTTTTCTCAACTGATTGGTAAATGCAGCACCGTGTTAGCTGACAGCATCATATCGATCACGAAATTCAAAGATGTCAATTTCCTAACGCCACTCAAATATCTAGAGACAAAGTAATGCACAGTAACCAGCGCGTGCCTAAAAATAGGCAATTCGTAAGCCAACCAGATTATATGAAAGTCCGATTGCGCCATATTAGAGGTTTTACTATGAGTCAAAGCAAAAGGGGCACGCCCCCACAAACGCAAGGCAGATAATAACCGAACCGCCAAAATTAATTAACGCAATGTCATTGATTGGTCAGCCTTACATTAGGTATTTCACATGAGGGATAGAGTACCGCTGTTAGCAAGCATTTTTGTGCATCGCCGTCGCAAATCCCAAAATCCACAGAACCCTTTTTCAGACGATTCGTCTTTTCAAATAATTTTCTTTCAGTCAGAAACATGCTGTTGTGAAACCAACAATCGAACTCTTGCAGCCAGTCAACTAGCATTGAAATTGTGCTGCTTAATCTATTGTATGCAAACTGCTGTCTCGACAAAACCAACGTTTATCTAATTTTTATCATCATTCCACATCGAAAATCATTTGTACAACTCAACATAGCAGAAGTACTCCTCTAAACTTGAAATGTCAAAGTTCGAATTTATGCACTCAGAGTAATAGTTCAAGCAGTTAATTTAGCCAGCACAGGCAAGCAATTGATTTTAGGCAATGGAATAGTGGTTCTACAGCTGACATGTGTTCAGGCATTTGGAACGAATACCAGCTTTTTTAAAACAGATAGTCTTGTTTGTCCACACTTCTCCAATTAGCATCACCTCTCTACTAGATTTGGCAATTAGCTGATTGCCACCGATTTTGTTGCCATCGACCACTGACTGTGGTACCGATTGAATCTTGGGAAATTACAACACATTTTAGACATTCTAGAAAAATCGATGTTTTAAATATGATAAGGATTTAGTTACATGCACAATATTTGGATCGGTTTATTGCATCACGAGATCCTTGATTCTGTCAAGCCAAACTGCAAACAGGAGGGGCTTACCACACAAGCCCTTAAAATAACTTCTAGATGTTAATTACGTGTATCAGGAAAAGCACTGGCAGATAATGAGTTCGCATTCTTTCGTACTGATTAACACACCGAGTTCGACAAAAGGCAGCTCCGACAGTTCAGAAAACGTAGAGGCCTTTACAATAACAAGAGAGTTGGAAGTGATTACCTACTGAAATTGCATGTGATGGACCCTTGTTCAGTGGTTACACAAAGTCAAAATATCGTTTAGCGGGAAACAGGCTAATTCGAAAACGAGAAAAACAAAAAAACACCGTGAGTGGTACCCCTTAAGCAAGACACAGATATTATCTTCATGTTATCTGTGTGGATTTTGGCACGCAGTTGCTGGTTTACGAGGCTAGCTTACAAAGTTAATCACTAGCATTGAAAAGACAGTGAGCCCAGAGTAAAACTGGGCTAAGCGCACTTCCCTTTTAGGAGTTTACCGTCTGCATTTTGCATATTTCGGTAATTTGCATCGAGTATCCCATTACATGTTCAATGAATTCTATCTTATCCGCCTCATTTTTACTTTAGAGCCACCAAACCCACATGATTTTTGTTCTTTCTACTGCATAATTTACATTACCTTCAGCGGCACACTTTGGATGCAACTGCAATACGTCTTGATTGATTAAAAAGGCAGGTTGTAGTGCTTCTGATGCCTACAATATCCATAATTGCCTTGCACCACATCTGGAAAATGCCAGTTCTCCCCATTCACTAATATAGACCTCCAGAAAAGCAGCTGCCGTGTTTTAATCTTCACTTGATAATTTCTGCATATTTCGGCAGGGTCAACTGCGTGAACACATTCTTCGTGATAGATCCGAGCATTATTAGACAATTACCATCGCTAATATAGCCACTGGAATTGTGCAGTTAAGGATTCACTTCAGGTACCATCAGCCACGAATGATGTTGCTAAGCACCTTGTAATGTCGAAACAACAGTGTCACTTTCCTTAGCTGTCGATTTAAGTGAATGCCATATTGAGAGAAGTAAAATATATTATGAAGTATCCAGTGCATGAATTTAACATCAACCTCACAAGATCAAAGGTTTTAATGGATTCAGCATAAATCAAGCATGAATTATGTACCCTTCAAGGGCTGTGGAAAAGACCTGTAGAATTTGACAGCTCACAAATTGTGCGCTAAATTCCATCCACAACACGAGTAGGGTTTAGAGTTCACAAGCTACCAAGGTCAGGGAAACGTATGGAGAAATTGTCTTAGGTACCATTTTATACAAAAAATATGCAAGTGGATTACAGTGTGCGGAGATAATCATTAAACAGATCTTCCTTGCCTCGAGCAAACCGTCGACAAAAGTCTTCGTCGGATCCTTGAACTATTGCGTCCAAGGGTGTGTACAGAGGCCTGCGGAAATTGATAGCACGTAAATCGCTGACTACGTTTTACACACAACACTGTTATCGTGTTGCAGCTAATATGAATAGAGTCTCGATTTCACAAGCTACCAAGGTAAGGGAAAAGTCGGCTCAAAAACTCACGTGAAATAATTGTTGCGGTCGTCGGTAGTTTCAATTACCAGGTGCAGTCGCTTAGAACGGAATTCACCCAAGTCCCGTAGCCGTGCTAGCCATTCCTTATATTACGAATAAAATAGGCGGAAAAAGGAATTAAAGAATAAATGTGAAGCATTATACTGTGTCTGACACTCCCATTCAATGAACTCTTCACCAGGCGTTTTCTCTATCCAAGCCGGAGGAGCACTTCACACCTCTGCATCACTGACACATAAATTGCCTCCTGTCGCACAGTACTAAATCGCCACACCGATTCTAATTATTAACGCTTACAGTGACAATGCCCATTTTTCCTACACTCATTCGTATTCATATAAACACATTAGAATGCTCATATGCATGACTTGATCCTGGGGGGAGGGGGGAATAAACGATTGGCTCACCATTGCCTTTGGTCTTCGTGGCCTGCTGTGCTGAAGCGAAACCGCGAATGGACTTGGACAGCTGGTCTGTTTGGTTAATGATACCTTAATTAAAGTTAGTGGACAACAACAGCCGAACTCAAGTGCTCTGCTCGGACATCAAGTTTATTCAAGATCACCATATTACCGTAGTTGCAAGTGACGCTACTTTTCATTTCCACGTGTCCATGTAGCTGTCGACTCTTTTCTATTGCCACGTATTGTTGCCTACTGTACCCATCTGCTTTAACAATGTTCAGAAATTTTTGTTTCATGGGATTTTAACTGAAATAAGATGCATTTCACAATATTTGCACGTTCTAATGTTAGTCAGAGGTGTTCCAATCTAACAATATTCAGATTTGTCGGATTTAACCAACGAGCGATAATTCGCATAGCCACTGACTTAGTCGTGACACCAAAGGTAAAAGAAGTCATTTCAAATCAAATTTACCCAGCTTCGCCATCAAAGAAATCAAAATAGTGTCACAAAAAATTCTTTGAATGTCAGGATGACTATGAACGCGGTCAGATATGGTAACTCTTGTGTGGATAATGCTTCACTAATTGTCGAGCCCTTACAGCTGGAAAGCCCATCAAAATGTAAGTACAATAAAAGTGCCCCACAAAAGTGGCAGATTTAAATACCAAGTTCTCCAAGGCAAATTTGCACGGGGTGATTGCATTCACTTCTATTCAGATCATTCTTAAGCCGTTTTGTCACATCTAACAAGAAGTAAAACAGGCCAAGTAGTCAGAATCACACATGGTTAGAGAATGTCGGCATCACTTATACGAATGGGACAAAAATCCTTCACCAAAGTGAGGCAGTGCTTGCGAAGTTTTTTTTGAAAATATGCACATTTATTCCAGGCACCAAATCGTTAGTTCACACTGTGAGCACTTCTCGTCAACGGACACATTTAAAGGGTATAATTGCAAATGATGCTTGAAAAATTCAAGCTGATTTTACTGAAGCAGATAATCAGGTGATGCGTCTTTGTAAGCTCGCTAAAATAATTGATTCATCGCTGTGTGAACCGGTTTCTTTGCATTGAACACACATTTTGCACTCAACACTCGTGGAAACATTCCACTTGTCACCACCTGATATCATTGTTTATCAGAAAGAGTACGATTATCTCAGGCTTTGTGTAAGGCGCACCTGATGAATTGCATTGGTATTAAGCAAATTGGACTAGACATCTTGAATGATGTTATTTTTATTCCAAGAAACGGTGTGATTGCAAAACCACTTACTCTCCCCACACGACCCAGCACCAGCGTAAAATTCTCCAAAAGGTGTATGGCAAATGCGTGTTTACGTTATCACTCCTTTCGTAAATGCATAACTTCTTTGTCTCGTCACAATGTATTTTTTTAAACTGCTGTTCTGCAGTTCATAACAGTAAGATGAGGTGTCCTGTAATTAGTTGGAGATAAGGATAAAGAACTCAGGTCAGTTCGCACACATTTACTGGGCGTAATTAAACTGAGATGAGAGAAGAAGTATTTCGGCGTTGGGCACCCATTATACCTTTAACAGCCCCTAGACATATTTCTTGTGTAATGACCTTCCGTGGATTTAATTGCACTAATAATTTAGGTCAGTGTTTAGCTAAACGGGAAACCAAGTCTGAAGACCAGGTGTTGAAATGGTGCTGCAGAATGCTTAGAGCTAAAGCATTTCAGTGATGGCGATTAAATTAAACAACGTCTAGGTATGTTCTTTGGCGTGAACTCTTTCCATTGTAGACCACTCGATTACGAATGCAACGACAATATGATATCTAATTGCAGAACTTTCGCTCGCTGAGGCAGACTTAGTTTCCCAACACTTGCCACAAGTTAACTATGGTGATTAGAACAGTACAGAGGACATTCGGCGTTTTAGTTGAGAGGTGGTGACTTTCGCCGAAAAGAACAAGAATGGAGGTTTGCCTTTTATGTGTATTTATAATAAACAATATCAGGTGAACGTCACCCTATGTGAACCATTGTTGCAGAGTCGCCTATGGTCAGAATAGAAAGAGAATTGATTTTCTTGAAGCCTAACATCACCTCTGAGATATTGATGCAAGAATCCACACATACGACAATCCAAACGGGGGTACAGCTAAAGGAAAGAAAGCAAGCGTAAATATCGTCATTTAAACTCAACAACTCGTGCTGCCCGGCACCGATGCGGTATTTCAAATATACCCAGGGCTCAATGCAGTTTCATATTTTCAGGACAAGTAGTGGCACGACACGATGACTTGTAATGCTCGCATAGTTAACCTGGCATATTTTGGAATCCTGGCTTCAGCAATGTCAAGCCTATTCTGCATCTCGTTTAGGTATAAAAACATGATTTTGTTACACTTTCATTCACTTCCAAACCAATTCTTGATTGCCAATGACTGAAAACAGTAACTCAGAAAGTTGCAAACATTCTTACTTGCACTTCTCCATATTCTTTCCAGGCAAAGTAATTCGCGTAAGCGGTGTCATTTTCATGCAGGTATTTTAGATATTCCACAAGATGTTTAAGGGACTGGAATTGGTTCACGTGAATGTAAGAGTTAGGAGGTGCGAGGTCTTTGTAGTTATCCTCGCGCGTTCCGTAGACAATAGGAACCAGTCCATTCCTAAATATTTCAAAATAAATTGGGTTCTTTAGAATCGAATTGCAAACTTCCCTGCCATATTCTGTCTTAACTGAAAATTAATGGGGTCTTGGGGCTCAATTGGGCACAGTGTGATTAGTTGTAACAAACACAGTCACACTTCAGTAGTAAATATTCTGACATCATACACTTGCTAAAGTCAGTGGTTCTTTCGGATTAGGATTCATCTCAAACGTCGGATCTGCTTTTGTTATCCTAATTTTTGCGCTGACATGTTTTTTTAGTAGTCAAAGCTCTATGACACGCCGAGTTAGCTGTACGTGGGTCCTTTACTACACTGTCAGATCTCGTTCATTACCAACCTCCATACGTGCACCTTCTCAGAGATGTCAGTGAAGCTGTTCACTACTAAAACTGCGCTGCAAATTTGCTTACATAAACGCATTACGGAACAGCTTTTCAGTCACGTAGTCTTGGCAGTTCGAATTCTCAAAAGCAAGGTAAAATTTGCTCTTCTTTGAAATCATCTCGAAGCAGTTTGCCTCGAAACACGGCTGGTAATGTTTTCCATAGCGATCGACCTGTCAAACAGAGTAACAAATTGTACAGATTCGTTTGTTAAAAAAGAATCGTGTTCAGGGTGTACTCATGTGTGCATTGTATTTGTCAAACTACTCTGTTAAACCCTTTCTCATTAAAAAAATAACACATTTTTGAAATCTTGTAGTCGAATACTCTGTTTTGCGACTGGATCTGCTTATTTACCATTTTACCCCGATTCGATGCTGTAAAGTACTTTGCGTGGGTTAAACCCACGAAAGGTAACTAGATCATCGATCGCTTAGCAAAAACAACGACGTTCATTAAAAAAGGTCTAAGGCAATAACAGGAGCTTGCCTGCATAAGACGAGAGAGTTCTGAGATAATGGCATTTCGTTGGTTATGCGCGTGCATGTTGGACATAACCACGGCTGCGGAGAGGCTTGTGCGATGTTTGTGATTTTTTGGAAGCCACTTTCTGTTGTCCACTAACAGCATCCTCTTTCTTATCTCATCCGAAATTACGCACCTGGGCTTATTAAATGCCCTGAAAAGACCGTACAAACGTGGTATCTGGGATTGTGTGTTTGTGAGGGAAAACACCCTAAACTAAAGCAAAAAATGATGTCAGGCCTATCACCTTGGTGCATTTAAAAACATATTTTATTTTCAATTTCATATTGTAAGATTCACCTGCTGAGTTCGCTTGAGTCAAAAGAGATGGAACCAAATATCGTCGTTTTGACGCGATTTCGTATAATCTTAGAATCGAGCCTTCGCAGTTTGGATACCAGTGCGAATTTTAGTCTGCCAAATGACTGAACTACCACACTGACCAGAGGCGTTCGTGATGCAACTTAAATATGGGCGTAGCTTGAATTATGCATGTTTGGCGCCCCGAGTACCAATTTGATCATGGGGCAGAAGACGTGCGGTCGAAAAATTCATGACGATAACGTAAAGTGCTTTCACGTCTAATTCAACAAACCTGTCTTATAGGTCATGTGTTACCCACCTGATGCTACCAAATCACTGAGCACATTGATCTGATTTAATGGAAACAGGGAAAGCAACTGAATTTATAAATTAGCATTCCCAGAATTCGCCAGATTCCTAGCTTTCCATAGGTTAGATTTTTCGTCCTGGTGCTTGTGCTTTGGCCATTGTTTGTTGTAATCGGAAAATTGCACTACTTTTGGACAACTTGCGAGTAGAGTCGATTTGAGAAAAGTATAAAGCCGCATCAACGTAGATTCGAAGAGTAAAACGGACGCAATGTGTGGTAAAACAACTCCCATCGAGAAACTTGAAATGATGCATTATTACTAGAAGCCATACAAATTGCAACCTCACCCGACTTTGCAGATCTGGGCTAATACGTGGCCAGTGAACCGGGGACTCTCCAGTTTCCAAACCCCACACGATGTTGGTTGAGGCATTAATGGCCTCAGGAGGTGGCTCCTTAGTGAAAAATGCCAGTGCTGCTTTCGGGTACTCCTTGATATCGCGTGTGAATCTGCAAACATATTTGCACTTTCCGGAGTTGTATCCATGGAAAAGAACACGATGGTCGAAGAAGATGAGGGGCGCATTTTTTAACTGCATCGGGTCCTAAAAGATCGATAGTGTCAAAACCTTGTACATTTTCAACATGATTTACAAACATAATCCAAAGTAAACGCCTTTTTTTAAAAAGAGAGGGCATTTGTGTCAAACAACATCTTTATTTGAACCATTCGAGCTTCCGTCTTATGTGCATGAACTTTTCTGGTGGTTCGTTTAGCGCAACTGTGAAGACTAGCCGACGAATACCTGGGCAAACGCGACGTGACAAAAACACATTTGGTTTTCTACTGCGATGGCGTATTTGGATACGAACGAAATGGCCTCTTGATGGCGCCGAACTGAATCAACTTATTGGTATGCTCACTACCAACCAGTTATTTTTTTTCACTGTCCAACCCAGTGAACATTTAATGTATGTTCGCAATTAGAAGACACGATAAATTAATTACTTGTCATACTACCCTATAATGCGACTGTTTTCAGCCGTTTGTAAGACATGTGTACAACAGTTTACCAGTAGTCCCTGTAAATTAAATATGATCGAGATTTTTCTTACCGGCCTAGCTACACTGTCGCACCATTCCATCTGGTCGAAGACTCTCGCATAAGGACTGAGGCGTCCGGAATTACATTCGGGACTGGTGATTTTAGGTTCTGCGACGTTGTCTTGGTCATTGTACGAGTCATGTCTGAGTTTCAGGAAGAGGAGCACGGCAACCACAATGACAAACCACAGTTCCATTTGTACAGTGCGCTTTCGAATCTCCATTTTTTAAGGGCAATTAAAGGAGAAAAGATTTTCTTATAGACAAAGGTGGGTGCGCGTGTGTGTGATGGTGTGTGCGTTTGATAGGTTGATCCCAAGGCACCAGTAAAGCACTATTGGCTGGATACCCAATTGCAAGTGAGGAGAGCAGGTAATGAGAACAAATGCACGTCGAATTGAGGTAACTAGAAAAACAAACTTTGATAGAAGTTTTCATCATTTCACCTTTAAATTATTTTATCGTCTGCCAATTAAACTGCGGGATCCGCAAGCTCCTCAAAACAGAAACTTTGATTTGAGTTTGAAAACGAGGTATCATTTTTCGGATGTTTTGGTCTAGTCTTACTTGTGGAGGGCCGTGCAACGAAGACCTGGAAGTTATTTTATCGCTTTGTGATATCTAGACTGCCTGGATGAGTTTGTGTCTGCAATTTTAACGTGGTCCATTGACGTAATCGCGATTTCACCATGAATACTACTTAGGATTTCTTACCGAAAAATAAACACGGATTTGATCCCAGTTGGTTGTTAGGACATCCTCTTATATTAAGGGAAGTTGGGTCTTAAAAGCGAACAGAAAGAATTACACGAATATCAACATTTAAATTACTTGTAGTCATGGAATGTAACCGAATATTTTTTAAGTAATCTTCTGTGAGGAACGATGAGGTTGAGATTAAATGCACCATTTGCAAAACGTCTCTGAGTTGGTAAGAACCGGTGGATACTGCAGTGAGGCAGATTGTGGTGGAAGAAGTGAGTTCGATTTGTTGCTACGCGGTTGAGGGAGACAGGCCGTGACATCGGTTGTTTAGAAAGGTAGCAGCAAGCTTATGCCCGGCTAACGGGGGTCTGTGGTGGCTAACAGGGCATCACCACTTCACGGCCGGGTGACACCAAACCGAACGCATCAGGAACCACAGTAAACAGATTTGGAGCTTTCATCGTGCCATAGTGGCCATTTCCACTGGCTTCAACACCAACCGCCAACTCCGCGCTCTCTGACGCCGTTACCTTAAACTTCAATATTAGAGTAAGAAGATCCTATAGAAGAAGACGTTAATGGTTGTAGCTAATGCCATTAATATTTTGACCCTCTAGACGGTATTTTATTAGGGACGGCTTCTGCGTACATTTCGACATTCCCCAGTCCAAGTAAACGTGGATTTAAACAATAGCAGTCCTTGTTAAGAGTTGGTTTCGGATTATCACTTTCAGTGTCATCAAAGTTTACCACATTTACTAGACCAAGATGGATTTGAAAATGTGATTCCCACATAACAAATGTCAAGTAGGCGTTAGCAATTATAATCCTTCATGTTCTTTGATACGACGATTCGTAGACTCATTGATCATTGTCAAAATATACGCTTTTCTTGTACTGCTGAATGAATGAGTTGTAAAATAGGCCCAATCTTTCCCTTCATGTCATCCATGTAATCATTTCTTGGGGTTGTGGTCTGAGTTTCGTGTGCCACTGTATGAATAAGGTGTAAAATATGCCCAATCTTCGCCTTCATGTCATCAATATAATCGCTCCTTAGGGTTATGGTCACTAGGAATCACTTGGGCCATTGGGAATTGTATCAACACGGCAAAGTTCAAAATGCTTCTCAAGAGAAGGCCCTGATACTGGCAATCACGTCGTCATCATGTTGCACACTCTCAGAATCCATATTTTTTATTGCCATCCGTCAACTCACTTGAAAGAGAAGTCGAGAAGCGGAGCTTGTAAAAATTCAGAATTCCTTATCCAAGGAAATCGCCTAGGCCTTTAGGTCATCAATGGCTCTTGAGCATTTAAATGTGAACTTTAAAAATTAACTTCTAGCATTAACATTATAGTTGATGAATTTAGATAATTATAGAGTGTAAGGTGGTACCCAGACCCAGTTCAAACATTTGGACGACCCAAAATGAGATGCGCTCTTTCACCAATCGCAGTTCTAGTTAGTGTGAGCGGTGATCACAGTGTTGCAAGGCCAAACGCTCCCGATATTTGGTAGGCCAGCAGAACGATCACTAGCTTTTTCGTACCAAACGCCCTTGAGGGCAATTTGCATGATTGACAAATAAGATTTGCAGGAACGTGGGTCTTGGGCTTTGCCGATGATTTCAAGTGTACGGTAGTCAATGGACTTTGCATTGAACGAGTCCGTGGGCAATGCGTTTGGGGCAATGTGTTTGCATAAATTAACACAAACACCCCATTAAATATATCAATAATCTAAAGTGCGACGAACAAATCGCCTAGCGAAAACATCGGTCAATCCTCAAAATTTGGATCGTAAATTCTTACAACCATTTCCCCTTCCACTTAACTGGCTACTCAGCCTATTACTGCTAGGACATCGATCACTCTGAAATTGATATTTCCACACAATTTAAGTTGCCTAACCTACTTTAAGCCCACCATCCACAATTTGCGTTCATCAGTGAACTTTGGGATAGCCTCAAATAATAAGGTTACCGTGACGCATCGTCCTGTTACCTTCCAAGTTCATGAGGCTACGATGCTTACAAACACGATTTTTTTACCAAATGCTTCAGAGTCGCAATCTCCCTGAGCAAGTGCCTACTAACAATCACGAGTCTGCGTTGCTACCCACATCTGCGTTCTGTCACTATTGCTTTGGTGAGATGGACAAACGGGCAGAAAAACATGACTGCTACCTGGCAATCCACTACTGCCACACCGCCTCTTCACCAGTTACACAAATTAAGACACATAGATTCCACCCCAACATCATGACTTTACGTCACAACCGGGTTGGGCTGCGTTACAGATTGCGCTTGGGCGGAGCAGCCACGCTGAGATTGTGGAAAATTCAGGTTCCCTTGTTCGCGAATGAGCAGACTAAGCGACCTTGAGAGAATCATGATTTGACTCATGAGTCACTGAGTCTGCATACTTTGTCAAAAGGATATTAATTACACAGCAGGCATGTGTAGAAGCCACATGGAACTTAGTTTATACCTCGGGCACAGTAGGAATGCCAAGATGAACCAGGCTATTTGTACTAGAGGCATTGTTTCTTGCATGGAATCCGATGCTTCTGAAACACCCACGGTCACTTCAGCCTGAAGTGCTTAATGGGTGAAATTAATCAGCCAGCTGATCACCTTGTCGGTCTGAGTGCAGTTCAAGGACGTGAAGCTATTTCGTGCAACTTTATAACACTGGATACTGCGCCAGTTCACAAGAAATTACCAAATGCTGCTGTTATTTGCGACGCACTACATCGCAAAACACGCCACACAGATGCTTCCGCATTCTGCCCCCCCATTCGACTAGCTGCAGCCTTCTAACGCCACTTGGTTTTTAATCAAATTACCACAGCTGGTGTTTTGCTGCAGGCATTTTGTAAACCAGTGATTATATTACAACAGACATTTATTGCAAAATTTCGTGCAACGTCATTTTTCAAACATTAGTGATTTGCTCAGCTTGAACCACCAAACCTGGCGCTGCTTCGAAGGGGAGTGTCAGTCCTCATGACTGTGAGGTTGCGATTCTTCGCAGTGGGTTAAGATGTGCATAGGTGCCGCTGTCATCTTGCGACGTCGCGAATGGTCGGGTAAAGTCACAACACTCTGATTCTTGTTGCATAGATGTTGCAGCACCTGAACGCTGATGAATCTGCAGCAGCAAATCGAGGTGGTACTGATGTTTCGCCAGCTCCATTCGCCTGCTTTCCATCGCATCTCGAGCAAACATCTTGTCAAGAAAGCTGGGACATCCATCCGGTTGCGTCGGGCGTACCTGTTCTGCAACCAACACAACCATGTCACTAGTTTGGGTTTGTTGACTTCATCTAAGACTAAACTCCGTGTGGACTGTCCGCCGTCTCATTACAGTGGTGGCCCAACTTCGTGTCCTGAAGCAACACCTAATCACCTCCACTATCACGTGGTGAGCCCACGAACACATCCGCCTTTTCCACACACACCACGCGTTCTGGTACAACACTTTTTAGGACTACGGTGAGGATAGCGATCAATCGGTTAATTTGTCGCACCATAAGATAATTCCATAATGGCTAAATAGCATTACCCATGTATTCCATCACCACCAACTAGTGAGTAGTTGCGTTTTTCACATGCACGTAAACAGTCAAATATGACAATATGAAATCAGCACATTGCCAACTTCTCATGTGTTCTGCGCCGCCGACCTAGTATCTGTCAACACCGAGAACCACAGGTGGAATGCGCCACTCGTTCCAGAAATGCAGTGCACTTCAAACCAACCACTAACACGTTGACTTGGCATTCAAATGTGACACTCCCCCACACCTCCCTGAGACCACACTCACCTCTCTTTTGCATCTGTTCGAATTGCATCTCTCTGACCTCCTTCTCTAGGGCCCGACTTGCCTCTCTCAACTGAGCTTGTTTGGCCTCCGTGGTTTGACAGATGTTTGTGGCGGTCACCTCGAAGGCGTCTTCTCTCCTCTTCTCTTCGAGTTGCTTTTCTTCTTTCAACCGTCTTGAGTACTCGAGAAATCGGCGAGTTTGTTCCCTAGTTGTTGCCTCGGATAAAAAAAATGTACAGGAATGACAGGAAATGTGTGTGTTGAGTGAATCAATGCATCACGGCGTACTTGTCTGGCTGCACAGCACGACGCCTGATTCGTATACTTGGCACCGATGACGCAATAACTTGTACCCAATCACAAACTCGAAATTGCTTTCGCTACTGTTGCCTCTGAGGCTGCTCCAGCATCGCCTTCACCGTAAAGTGCACTTTGTCAATGAAAAACATCACGTCTTTGAACTTGACGCACTGCCTCAGAGGGCTTTTTGATCTGGTGGAACAAAGGGGGCGTGGGGCCTCAATCTGAACACTCGGAACACTTGCAACGCACTAGTTGGTGATGAATCGGCTGTTTTAGCAAGGGAAGATTCCAGGCCAATTGATTGCGCATAACAGGATGGTGAATTAGCACCAAGGCGATCTGTAGCAGGTAGCATTGTGAGGATAACTGTAGAACCAGAAAGGTCACCCTCGGTCAGACCCTGCATGCATGCTAAGGTCAGCGTACCAGTACACACAGCACACTGTCAACCAGTCGTCGGCAGTGCACGTTGCAGGCACGCCTGTAACACGCGCGAACTCACATCCTATCACAGCGATTTCAAGCACAACAAACTAACACAATTTCCACTCATTAACACAAGTCATAATGTACTGTGGGCGGCCCTCACAAACTAGAATGGACGCTATTTCAGTTGGCTTTCATTTACACAGTGCATGAACCACTCAAATAACTCGCAGATAACATTATTTCGATTTACTTGAAATATGTGAATGTAGACATGGATGTTTAGGGTCTAACCATCAAAATCTGATGGCTTTTTTAGCTGGACAAACTGTGCTGTTGATAAATGACTGTCGGTCTCGAGACGATCTCACAATCTACATCTGAGAAATCGGTGAGGAAGAGAAGTGCTGGAGGACATTCACGTGAGGTCTCTTCCATGCATCCGTGTGTCGCCGTCAAATTGCTGGTGCACCAGAAACGTGTTCTGGCGTGGCAGCGTGGGGGTATACATGGCGATGATGAGCGTCAGTGACTGCTCACCCCAATAACCGTTCACCACCTCCTACAAGCAAACTCTCCTCGTCGTTCAACACGCCTCCATTTGTGCGTTCACGCGCACACCACCATAGCACAGAATATGCCTAGCGGGTGAACAAACAGGTGCACAAAACCCATCGCGACGTCTTTCCACGAGACTTGTGAGCATTAAGGTAGCTGCGCACAACCAACAGACGAACAAGTTGGCAATTACGGTCAAGTTATCCATTCCAGTCCAAGTCACCTTGAACAACTCCTGCTTTCTCAACACACCACTGGCGTCAATCAATTGAGTGTTGTTAAGCAAACTAGCAATGCGTCGCCAACCTTGTGTCTTCGAAATGCTTCATCCATCTGCAAGCCAAGCTGTGTGTCGTTGGAAATCAGCCATTTAGAAGCAACGGCCTCCTCCATTGCGCGTTTCTGGATTGCACGACACTTCTCTTGGATTTGTTGCTCGAAGCAGCACTGGAGCATCTTCCTTCTAGAAAGGGC